TGCATCACAACTACTTAGTTTAAGTAAAATGAAACTAAGTTATACCATAGGTATCCTAACAGGTCATATTAGACTGAATGCACACTTGAAGCGCATTGGAGTTAGGGATGATCCAGATTGTGACCTTTACGGAAGAAATGAGGAAACCTCAATTCATTTCCTGTGCACATGTACACAACTAAATCGTACCAGAGTTACTATTTTTGGTAAGGGGACGATCAATCCAGAGGAAGTCTTAAAATTTGATATTTCAAATTTTTTTAGCTTCATCAAAGAGTCGGGTAGATTCTCTCAACTGAGGGACACTCCCACTTTATTAAATAACGATAGACAAGTTACAGGGAATGAGACTTTTAATGTAACACAACCCACGTAATAGTGTCGCAACATTAAACCTATGGATGATTTTATTATCAATCGGTAGGAATGAGCTGTTTTTCTCTTTCTCCACGGGTAGCTTGCAATAGGTTCTTGACCTTCGCGACGAGATTTTCTCTTTTGAGTCTTTCTCCCCACTATAATCCATACATCCATACATCCATCCATAATGACTTGGAAAACTTTTTGGCGATCGATCACTTTTTGGTAATCGGAAATTTCCTTCAATTTTAAAACTGATCCGAACAGCAAATGTTGAATCACAGGGAATTTTGCAAGCAACTGTAATAGACAAAGGATTCGTTTTCATTTTAGTTTTTTTTTTAGGTTAACAAATTGGAGTTCAATTGACTCAATTTGCTTGAAATGAAAATCGTAAACCATGTCTAAAAATTCTTTATGCAAAAAAACTGTGTAATATTCCGTCATTTACCTCATTTTCATATTTCTCGATGAGAATGGAATTAATTATTTCCCATGAATCAACGCTGCGCATGCTCAACAACTGATTTGAATGTTTGGCGAAACGACCAGTTTTCACCTGTTTATGAAATAGAAATTAAAATTCCATGAATCGAATTCAACGAAATTTTTAAGCACATCTTGCTTGGCTCAATTACAAACCTGTAGAATGTGATCAATACATCCAATGAAGTAGTATTCATTTTTGTATCGATTGATGACATCGATTTCAAGGAAACGTTTTGGTTCGAACGGTTCCTTAACAGAAAGCTGAGCGCTCCCCCAAATGAATTGTACATGTACATATTGATCGTCATCCATGCTCGAAACACCATGACTACCAACGGGTCCCATGCCACATTGAATATTTTCAATCCAACGTATAAATTATCCCTTTCGCTCAATGCATGGATTTTATAAAGTGCACACAAAAACATGATGAATGCCAATTCATGACCGGTTCCATAGTCATTTCGTGTCGCATTACCAATGAGTTGAGCATGTTGAAATACCACTGGTAATGCTTCTTTTAACAATCCCGTTGAGGTTCTTTTCATCTTTTCAAACCAATTGCCGAATGTCGATGGTGTTTCATCTATAATTTTATTCAAATCATCAAAGATATGAAGCAAATCATCTGCAATTGGTGACGGATTCAATTTTGTGCTCAATTTCTTCCCTCGAACTGCCCGATTTATCCTACTTATGAAACTAATGAATTAATGATATCATAATAAGCGGTTGATTTCTCCCAAATAGCCATATCATTCATCGATTGGACAGATTGCACCAGTTCGACGTTATTACGCTCCATAGCGGTGGTCTATCTGTTACCGAAAACACTGACGCGCTCCCTGATTGCATTAAATCGAACTAATCTGTCCCAAATGTGTTGTTTTGCATCTAACAGATGGCGCTCGCATATTTACAATAACAAAAATTTACTTAAAAAGTTTGAAAAGTACAGAAAAATAATTTAAAAAAGTAACAATAAATAAATTTTAAAACGTTTTTTAATGGAAATTAGTTTTTTTTGTAATTTTGTGAAATTCATTGTTTTCAATATTGAAAAATATTAATTTGGAAAAATAAAATGGCTCACTTTTGTGTCACAATGATAACAAGTTGATTGCTAAAAAAATCTACAAAGCACCAGAAAATATTTACAAAATAAATGTAAATATATTTTTAAATGTTAATATAAGTGAACATTAATATCATTTTCATTTTTGTGGGATTGGAATTCAAAATATTCGAAAATAACTAAATCAAAAAGTGTGCAACATAGCCTCACTTTCAATTACGCAATTCACTAAATGGTGAACAATCATTGACTCTAGTCTATATATCAACAGAAAACTAAATGGAAAATGTAATTCATTTCCCTTTACGCAATTCAACTCACCCTTTAAATTTCTGAACAGCCTCGGTCAACTTTTTCACGTGGTGCTCTTTTGCCATGTCCAATAATTCACCAGCATTTTCGGCATTTATATCAGTAATGCGCTGGTTTAGCTTTTCATGATGAAAAATTTCTCTCAAAAGATCCGAAGACAAATTTTTCCATGATTCGGTCGCTTTTAGTTCGAAATAATGACTAAAAAATGATACGAATGAATAGTTTTGCAATATTCACAAAGAACATATGTATAAATCATTTCATATTTACTCCAAAATGTAATCAATCGATGCGGACTTCAATAGCTTAGCGTTCGTGATATGTTCAGTCAAAATCAGACAATCGATGACGTTTTTAGTTTCTATACAATCCACAATAAATTTCTGTGCTTTTTCGAAAAGTTCATCGACCTGGTACTAGAATAAGAAATTGATAAATTTACTACATTATTCCATTTTTCACGATTATTTTGATTCAAATTTCCATACCTCATCTGATATCTTGAGCAAACTCTGCACATTTTCGGTCGAAATATTCACTTTGAATGTGTACATGTATTTAACCATTTCATAAACAATTGCATATTCATAATCCGGAATATTGATTTGATCACATTCGTCAACTTTAAACAATAATTTCAACAAAAAATGTTTTATCGATTAAATAAGAATCCAATGTAAATAGTAATGACAATGCGACACCTACCGTAAAAATGCAAAAAGAAACTTAGTGGTCTCCATTGTAGCATTTTGGTCCGCCATGACAGCATCTTCGTTTTACTTGACCAATCACAGAGAAGCAAAACGAAGATGCTGTTATGGCGGACCAAAATGTTACAATTCCAAATAAGTTTCCTTTTCTATTTTAACGGTGGGTGTCGCATTGGTATTACTTTTTACATTAGATTCTTGTTCAATCTATGAAAAAAAAAATTGAAATTATTGTTATTTTTAAACAAATAAATTTAAAATATAGAGAATTTTTATGATAAACGTAAGAAGAATATTTTATGATATGTTTCTTTTTTTTACTCGACCGTTCAAAAATTATGCATGTTGAATGACGAGCTTATATATTGTCAAGCCAAAAAATGTATCATTGTGGAATGACATAGAGTGACATTTACATGAGCGCCGTATATCGGATTAATTTCGCTTAGCAAAGGGGGAAACGTCGTACTCGCTCCTTTAAACGAGGCGAAATGAGCACTGAAGACGATGCGCGCAGTGGACGGCCAAAAGAGGCTGTTACCGACGAAAACATCAAAAAAATCCACAAAATAATTTTGAATGATCGTAAAGTGAAACTAAGCGATATAGCTGAGACCCTAAAGATATCAAAGGAACGTGTTGGACATATCGTGCATGAATATTTGGACATGCGAAAGCTGTTTGCAAAGTGGGGGCCGCGCGTGCTCACAATCGATCAAAAGCAACAACGTGTTGATGATTCGGAGCAATGTTTGGAGCTGTTCAACCGTAATAAAGACGAATTTTTCCGACGATATGTGACAATGGATGAAACATGGCTCCATCACCACACTCCGGAGTCCAATCGACAGTCAGCCGAGTGGACTGCACACGGTGAACCGAATCCAAAGCGTGGAAAAACGCAACAGTCGGCTGGCAAGGTTATGGCGTCTGTATTTTGGGATGCGCACGGTATCATATTCATCGATTACCTCCAAAGGGGCCGGACCATCAACAGCGACTACTACATAGCGTTATTGGAGCGTTTGAAGGATGAGATCACAAAAAAACGGCCCCATTTGAAAAAGAAAAAAGTGCTGTTTCATCAAGACAATGCACCGTGTCACAAATCAATGAAAACGATGGCAAAATTGCATGAATTGGGTTTTGAATTGCTTCCCCATCCACCGTATTCTCCAGATCTGGCCCCTAGCGACTATTTCCTGTTCGCAGAACTCAAAAGAATGCTCGCGGGAAAAAAATTTAGCGCTGATGAAGAAGTAATCGCTGAAACAGAGGCCTATTTTGAGGGTAAAGAGAAATCGTACTATAAAAATGGTATCGAAAAGTTGGAAAATCGTTGGAATCGCTGTATCGCCCTCGAAGGCATGTATGTTGAATAATAAAACCGAATTTTGCCAAAAAAATGTGTTTTACTATGTTAGCCTACGAACTTTTCAGCCGGCCTGTTATTTAAGAAACACCAATTGATCGAAAAGAGCGTTTTTCTTCTAAACAAACTACTTGCATCTAAAAAAAAATTCTCACCATAAATGTCATTGTTGTGTCACATCAGTGTGAAGTTATCCACTATCGGCAGTAAAACTGAGAATTGAAAACTATTTAAAACAAAACAGATGAAACAGAATTCTCAAACGAAATTATTAATTGTAAATATCAGATCTAAATATTAAAAATGTACATAAAATAAATCTCAACGACGACTCTCTCAAAGTTGCTTGATGAACAATGTTTAGATTACTAAATAATATTAAATTAATAAGTTATTTTGAATAAACCGCCAAGGCGAAGGAACGCTGTTCGGTGCAGTTATTAATATTATTATTATTAATTTTATATTATATTATATTATTTGAAACAATTTGCCATAGTTAGTAGCACTTTGGAAATAAAATACAATTAAAAGTTTTTAAAAAATGTGCGCAATATATTTCCATGCTTAATATGTTGTTGATGTTGAACGAAGTTCGTCACAATCAAACACGAATTTGTTATACAGTAATAAATAAAACTCGCGGGTGCGTTTATATAGTGTGTTTGACGTCTTTGACGGTTGTATCACACTCCTAAACGCACATGGCATAATTGGTATTTTCTGCTTAATTTTTTTTTCTCAATTCGATTACATATTAATTACATTTTTGCAATTAAATTAAAAGAAAATAATAATAGGCTTTCGCGAATCAATATGAAAAAAAGAATTTTAAATAATACGGTCAATAGAAATCCACAATGGAAAAAAATTAAGTTAAGTGGTAATCTGCTATCTGATGATGGTGGCGCAAGCCTTGAAGGATTGCTTGGGCTAGAAGTTTTGGAAAATTATGATGGAGTTATATCTGTGACGAAAGAGAAAAGAATCAAAACGAAAAAAGAAAACATATTAGTCAAAGAAAACAGTGACGACAGCGAGTCTGATAATTCAAAACGCAGCAAAAATGAAAGAAAAAAGAAAAAGCGAAAGTTGAAAAATGTAGGTCATAAAAAGGAAAAAAGCAATGAGCCAGGTAGTTTTGTACGTCCCCTTCCAATACCAGTCGATGAACATTTCACAAGTTTAAATGGTAATGAAAATAAATCAACATGTTTGACCTCACAAATGGAAAATGATGGAGAAAATGGAAGTATAAAATTAACAGTAAGACCTTTTATTCTTTTAAAATTATTAAACATTGTAATTAAACAAAATCATTAAAAAATAAACCTTTTAAGCATGAATTGTGAAATTAAATCACAATTTTAAATTGAAGCTCCCAATACAGAACATAACTTTTCGAATTTCCTTAAAGCAGGCTTGGACAAGGTTTGGAATTGCTGAACCAATTTTAAAAGTATTGGCTGAGAAGGGCTTTAAAGAGCCCACAGAAATACAAGCACTAACATTTCCAGCTGCAATAATGGGACGTCGTGATATCTTGGGGGCTGCTGAAACCGGTATGAATTTTTTTTTATTTACCTGTAAGGCATGTCACTAAGTAAGGTACCTAAAAAAGAAAATCTATCATTAATCTATATGTTGACAAGTTCCATTCTTCAAATCTTGACAACACTTGTGAAATCCGTTCAAAAATTACAGCCATTGAAAAAGACCAATTACGCGTTTTCCTTTTTTGATAGGTACTTTACTCATTGAAGAACCTTGTATACTTATTTAATTTGGCTTTATATATATAGGCAGTGGAAAGACTTTGGCATTTGGCATACCGATTATAAATGGCATTTTACAAATGAAAAAGAACCCTGAAAAAATCAATTTTCGCAAAGTGAGCAAAAACGGCTCTGAACAAGTAGAAGTTCCAGAAGTCGTAAAGCTACAAAAAAATAGATTGAGACATAAAACTTCACGTCGACAGGAAAGAGAAAATTTGACACCACCGCCTGAAGAAATTAACAATTTTCCAGGCTTAAATGGTGATATTGATACAGTCAATAAAAAAAATGAATGTGAAACAAAAAATGCATGTAATACACAATCTTTGTACGCTCTAATTCTGACACCGACTAGAGAGTTAGCAGTACAAGTAAAGGATCATTTGGTTGCGGCTACAAAATATACTGATATTCGCGTGGCTGCGATTTTCGGGGGATTAGCAACAGTGAAACAGGAGCGAGTTTTGTCAAAGTGTCCAGAAATTGTAGTTGCAACACCGGGAAGACTATGGGAGTAAGTTCGGGAGATATTCCAATCATTCTTTCTATTTTTCTTTTCTAATTCATTCCATTTATTTTCTTAGGTTATTGAACGAAGGAAATGCTCATTTAAGCAAATTACAAAATATAAATTTTTTGGTGGTTGACGAAACCGACCGAATGATTGAAAAAGGTCATTTTGAAGAATTGAAATTCATCTTAGACCGTGTAAATGCAGATCCATTGAAAAAAATACAAAGGCAAAACTTCATATTTTCAGCCACGCTCACACTGATACATGATTTACCACAGTATCTGAAGTTGAAAAATATGAACAGAAAACGAAAACTGCAACCTGAAACCATACAACAAAAATTGGCTGCGCTTATTCAATATTTTGGAATATCTCAACCAAAAGTTATTGATATTACCCAGTCTGCGAGTGGTGGGACTGGTATCGCAAGAAAATTAACAGAATGTCGCATTTCATGCTCCCACGAACAAAAAGATTTATATTTATATTACTTTTTACATAAACACCCTGGGCGTACCATCGTTTTTTGCAATTCAATTGATTGTGTTCGTCGGCTTGCAAAATTGTTCAGCATTTTAAAGTGTGGTCCTGTTGCATTGCATGCAAAAATGGCACAAAAAGCTCGTTTGAAGAATTTGGAAAAATTCACAAAAAACCCAACCGGCCTGTTGGTGGCAACTGATGTTGCAGCAAGAGGACTGGATATTCCCAATGTGGAGCATGTCATACACTATCAAGTCCCACGAACTAGCGAAAACTATATTCACCGTTCCGGTCGTACGGCACGCGGCAACAAGGAAGGTATTGCTATTCTTCTAATGGAACCAAAAGAAGTAACCGAGTATGTGAGACTTTGCAGAACATTAAAACGAAGTGAGTAATACATTTAAGAATAGATACAAATATATTGTGAAAATTAACGAAAACCATTTTTCAGGTGAAGATCTACCAATATTCCCAGTAAGAGATACATATTTGGCTGCTGTACGGGAGCGAGTTATTTTGGCAAGAAAGATAGATGTTGAAGAGCTTCAAATGCGACGTAGAAATGCAGATATAGGGTGGTTGAAAAAAAGTGCAAAGGAAATGGACATACTCATGGATGATGGAAGTGACTTCAGTGATGCCGATTTCGGTGAGAAGGAAGTTGGAGATGCTCAAGAAATAAAAGCTCGTCGAGAACTAAAGCATTTAAAAGATGCTCTGAAACATTTATTATCAAAACCGATTTTCCCCAATAGATACACGAGTTCAATTGATAGTGATAGGCAATTTAATAACCAATCTAGCGAAAGTCAAATTCAAAATGCAGTAAATGTCATGAAAAATGCTATCCAAGATAAGAAAAAAATAAACAAAAAACAAAAATAAGGAAAATGTATCAAATTGAATTTCGCAATAAATTTTAATATTTTTTATAAATTTAATAAAAACTTCAAAAATACACAAAATCTTATGAGTTAGTTGTTATCAATTTGTATCACGCAAAGAATATGTTTCAGGCACAAATATTGGCGGATATTCAATATTTTCCACAGTAGAACTTGTAATTGAAGACGGCGTTGATTGTATATATTCATTTCTATTAGAACGTGATTTAGATTCATTTACATTAGGTATATAAGATTGATCAATCGATGGTAATCCAGCTGATCCATATTCATCATGATCGATCGGGCTATCTATATTTTTACGTCCAAATATTGAAGAAGCAGCACGATGTAGCCGTGGTGATCCAAGAAGTCGTTTTTCTTTCACAGTTTTTGATGGAAATGTTAGTTTTGATAGATAAGATACTCCATTCACCGATAAAAAATTTGCTTGTGATGTTGGTATCGTATGAAAAATATCATTAGCACCATCATTCAACTCACTTGTTTCGGGGGGCTTTTTTTTCTCTTTACTTATTATTTTATCATCATCATTTCGTTTGCTATCCAAATTCAATCCAATCCAATTCAATCCTTTTGAACGTTTTGTTAAACGTTCGTTACTTTTAACAAACATAGCGGGTATGTTACAGTTATTATTATTATTACTGATAATATTATCATTATTTATGTCATCGCCTGAAATGAACTCATATCCAAAATCACGTAATTTTTGACCTTCTTTTGAACGAGCCATTATTATTTCCGTATCATCCGCTTTAAAACTTTGTGCATAGTCGGGCGTCTTTGGCAAACTCCTCCTCTGAATCTTATTGTTGGTGTGTTTTTGTCCAACCTGCGGTGAATTTTCATTTTCTTCTAATGCGCGATTACATTCATTGGATGTTGATTGACGAGGTTTTCTATGTGTGTATCGGTCATTTGGTTTTTCAACTCCAAGATTGACTCGGTTATTGTACATATTATGAGCTTCATCCTCTTCACGCTGAAGCATTAGATCTTTTAGTGTAATAAATCCTTGTAAACTTTGTGTCTGATCAAAAGTATTAGATACATTTACTTTTGGTATGCCAACATCTAAATTTTTTGATGTTTGGAATGTAAATTCTACCAAATTTGGATTTGACGCATGCATATAGTTGAAAGGCGATGTTTTTTTTTTTGCTAATTTTGATAATGGTTCGTTTGCAACAAATGGCTCACTTTTGGTTTGTAATGCCAACGCTGTATTTGATCTGTGCGGAGGAATTGAAGATCTTAAGACACTAAGTGTTGTCATTCCTGTAGAAAGTGATTCATGACTTATAGTAGCGTTAACAATTGATGCATTAGATTTTATATCTGATTCCTTTCCTAAATCACTTTGCTTGTGAGTAATTTGTTCACTTATAACAGAAGTTGAAGCATTTGAATGACTTTGTTGTAGCGGTTGTGTCATCATATTGTAATCTAAAAGCGTGTTTGAACCCAATTGCATTCCAGCATTGCCAGGAATTTTTCGATAACTTTTGTATTGTGCTGTTGGAACTGGGATATCACTTTGAACTTTTTTTCGTTCCTCTTTTTCAGTTCTGTTAGACGAGAATGGTAAATTATGTAAGTTGGTGAATTTTTTCAAAGAACCAAATCCCAGATGATATTTCTCACTCTTTTGCGTTGAAGGTGAAGTTTCGTCAGTTGAACTACGTTTTTTATTTGTTTTACCTACACCCAGCATATTTTTTTTGAATAAACTTGGCTGTATTGTGTCTTCTTTAGCCAATTCATTTTCTTCATCAGAGCTAGTTTCCGAAAATAAATATTTATTGTCGATACGTTCAACGAGCATAGGATCCATATTCACTGTAGTTCCTTTTAAAGTTGCACGTTTTATATAGTCTATCCACTGAGAAAGTGCTTCTTGTGATTCTGCAGCAAAATAAAATGTTTTCTTCGGATGATAGACTTTGTACGCATATGGTTTCGAGTGAACTTCTTTAGCTAAAGAAACAGTAAAACCTGGCAAAAATATCAAACAACTTGCTTTTTCAGATCTCTTATTTCGGAATCCATAAAGAGCCGTTTCAACCAAAACAAAGTAATGTTTTGCCCAATAAGTAACACCGTGTTTATCTTTTGTACGTCGAAATAAATGTCCTATCAAAGAAAACGAAACAATGAAAGATATAAGTTTATAGGAGTTGCGAACGGAAATTTTCTGATATATAAATGCGAGAGAAATTTATATATATTATTAGTGTGCGAATAAAAATTGTAATATTTTTAATATTAATACCTTGAATATCGCTAATTTCGAGAGTTTTCAAACAAATGTTCCGTCTTTTTGCCAATATTGAATTTTTCTTTTTCAATGTTAGAGACTTTGTTCTGTTCGGCGTGAGTAACTCTGATTCTTCATTATTACTGTCAGAGTTAATATATTTGGAATATACAGGCCGTGTTTTCTTCTGATTTGGGCATGTATTGGTATTTCTAAAATCTATCAAAGGCGAGGTTTTTTCTACTAATTTTGACTCATTCAATGTTGAATTACTTGGAATAATAAATTTCTGTGTCTCATTTGAATTTTCCAATTTAGGAATTGGAGATATATCAGAAGAATCCCTGTTTTCTTTCTCTTCTTTCAACATGTCGTATTTTCGGTGAACCAAATCAGCAGTTTTTGAGGGTCTAGGTGGTGGCCTAGGAGCAATTTTCTTCAAGAATTCTATTCGTGGTCCAATTTCTGGAGGCTTGTCTAAATTATGACAAAAAAGTATAAGTTATAGATACCAATATTATAATCAGTAGGAAAGTAGTATATTTCCCTGATAACGTACCGTCATCATTGTGATTCTTTTCTATTTGTTCTGGATTGTTCTTGACTAAAGAAAAGTTTATTGCGTTGGTAATTTCTGCAGAATTTGAAGAATATGTTTGTCTTAACTTTAAGGGTAGATCAGGTACCAAATCATGAATAACATTTGCGCTTTTTGTACATTCAATTGATTGCTTCGTATTTTCTTCTTCATCTTGTATTGATTTAAATTTGACAACCTTTATTTTATTTTCTGTTCCAGTTTTTATTTCATCCGATGTAACAAACGTCATGCTGTCGTTAACGTTGTTAGTTTTTAATTTCCCACTTAATTGATTAATATTAACAGTCTTAATATCTGGCAATGAACTCTTCAACGCATTTCCCAAATTACTGAACTTATCATTAATTCCAATGCAAGTAATCGGCCGCTTATCTGATGAAATTTCTAAACCGAAACCAAATGATACAGATTTATCACGTAAATTGTTTTCCACAAAGTTTCGTCGAACGTTCATTTCATGCCAAAACGTGATATTGCCTCTAAATCCAGATGCCTGATCACCGCAAATGGTGTTTCGTCTCTGAAGAACTGCTCGTGGTTTTGATAAGTACAATCGAAGATCTTTTTCATTGCTTTTTGTTGATTCAGGTGGTATCAAAATACTACTAGAACTACTTGAGTCTGAATCAGAAAGATTACCTAGGGATGATCAGATGAAAAGAATAAAAAAAATGGAAATTAATGGAAGTAATGGATCAAGTATATCAATTGTATATTAATGGAATAGTAATTTAAAAAAAAATTACTTTTCTCAGTGAGAGGTAAAAGCACTGGAAAGTTTCGAGTTTGATTAAATTCAATTCGTGGGCTTGGTAAATTTTCTCCAAAACGGTAAGGTAATGATCGTTTTTTACTCGGTAAACGATAAGGTTTCATATAGATTTGACCATAGATCTTTGTGTGACGTGGTCGTTTTTTTAGTGTTAACAAAACGTCTGGCGGTGACTCCTGTAACTGTTGCAAAACACGTTTGTAGTGCCAACCAATCACAGTTTGGTAATTTATCTGTATTATTTCATCACCGTCTTCGATCTTTCCAGATATATCAGCTGGTGAATTGTATTTTATGTCCGTTATTCTAGAAACATGCAGTTAAAAAATTGGTTTTCAGCAGAAATTAATGGCAGAAAATTGAAGTGACCTGAAATTTAGTTAAAAATAAATCGGCACCATAATATTTTTTAACCATAACAACAACTTTTTTCGAAACAAATTATGCTCCTTCATTCTCAACAGGATTTAAGGTCACATTAATTTTCATCAGTTTAAATATTTAATATATACGTACATGTGAATACCATGATAGTTTGGAACTATGTTAAATCCAAGCTCAGATTCTCTTTTCTTTAAAGTAACTAAATTTAATGTAGCAGGTTGTAAAATAATTGGATCTGATATATCTTGAATAATATAGTCAGCCAGTTTGGCAACCTTTTCAGCCGTTAAACGTATCTGCAAATGACATATAGGTAAGTAGTTTAAAAATACAAAAACTCTAATAATGATGATCAATCAAACATTTTTAATGAACAATCTAAAAAAGATTTAGATGAAATCCAAATATTTGGTACAGAATTTCTACCCAACCTGGATATATTTTGTTAATGCAATGCAGTGATTTGGAATTTGCCAGATAAAATTGGTAATGAATATAACTGAATAGAACTGGTAATATGGTAGGAATTCTAAAATAATTTGACTTTTTTGTCTCTTGTGTGATTTGATTTGACCAAATTTTCTAGAGTTTTTAGACAAGATTTTTGCTAGGGATTTTTGAGGCACATTCTCTTTCCAACACACCACCTCCACTATAGTGAATGCTCAAAAGGTATAGTATATGACATTTGGTGTATTGTGGTATTCGGTGTATTTCATTGTTATTGGTATCCAATGTGACGAATATCACCATTTTACAGGATATTACAATCGTTCAAGATGAAAATTTATCCCATGACATCGATGAAAAAATGCGTTTGATGAAGAGACCAGAGCTAAACTATTTGGACAAATAAAATTCATTTACATGGTGTGAACAATAAACTCATTATTGGTTTATCGTTCACTTTATGCTATAATAATTATATTTGTAATCAATTGTTATCACTGTCAGATTCAACAACGCATATATCAATCCAAGATCAAACGATAGTTCACAAAAGCTACTTTCAAAATAATAATTAATCAGTTTACCTGATCAACTGGATTTTCTACGAAGCGATCACGATGGGCGCTAGTTGCCATTTCTATCCCCAGTCGTAAAATTCTTTTGCGAATTTCATTAAATTGAACCTGACCTGTGAATATTTAAAGTGTATATCTGTTATTCAAATTTCAAATTGAATATTGAAATAAACTAATTAATGGTTAATAACATAATTAAAATTTAGATGAACTATGCACCTTGAAATGGAGATCGATCCAACCAGCCCACTAACGGTTTGATAGTACCAATTGCACGAGATATATCATTTAAAATTTGTGTTTCAATTTTACTTTTGTCGGAATAATGTGCTAACTGATTGTGTAAATTTTTGGCAGTAGTCGCAACTCGTAGTGCTAAAAATTGTAAATTTTCTTTCTCTAAGTCGTAATTAAAATTTCGTAATTGGTCGACCGCTTCTAATACAATTTCCTGATGACCGATTGATGTTAAACCCAATTCATTTAATTCATATGGCCTTATATTGAGTAATATATGTCCTTTGATCTCATTATTTGCAAATGAATTGATATATTTGTACATCGAATTATCTAAACCTGTGAAGCAAAATTTCATTCATTTGGTAGTTTCAACTAATGTTAACACAAAATTATCAAAATATTGATGAACTTGCCAATTTAAAATTCAATTTATTAAAATCAAAAATTGATTTTACCTTTAAGCCAGTCTGTAACTTGATCAGGAGTCCATTCAGCTACATTTATGTATGCCATTATGTACACTTTAGAACAAAATATCGAAACTCATAAAAAATAATAAACAATAAATCTCCACTCAAACTTTTCAACAATATAAAATCTATATGTTTCCATTAAAGAATAAAGATATTGAGCAAAAGTTTAAGGAAAAGAAAAATGTAACACACAAAATAATCGAAATTTACATGGTTCTTTCGTGATGAGCTTAACACAGTTGTTTGCTTTTTCCTACCGAAACTCTCATTAAATATTTTTCAGCCTTTGTTAATATATTTTATGTGTCAATAATCTCCACACATACAACAAAAATGATACTTTCGAACGCCAAAATGTTGTATGTGTAAGTATTTGTATGTATGTATTTATGTGTGTATGCATGTATTTATGTCGAAATCCTAATATCATTTATATATGATTAACAATTACGAGATTTTTGGAATTTGAATCAGCTGAATGCTGAATATAGAAATATGAACAAGAAAAATGATTAATCCATAATTATAAAAAGAAGAATAAGAGATTTAACTTGAAGTCGCTCTCATTATTCTGTCTCTTTCTTTCAATGAAGATATTTGACACTTCCAAATGTCATTGTTTAAGTCTATGGTCGTTCATTTTACTAAGGTACATTCATTGTCTGTCAGATTGGCTTTTTATTTTAATAGAATAGTAATCAATTCGTACATTCAATATCGTATAAAGGCTTTTTGTGCGTTGACTAAAAGAAAAAAGCAACAAAAATTCAATAAGAAAAATTCTTTAGATATTTTATATTTTGGTCTAAAATTTCATACTTTGAAAATTAAGTCTGCATTCGTTCAAATATTTAGTCACGCACTTTAGACATTGAAAAACACAAATTATACATCCAAAATTCATCCAAGATATTTTATTGAACTGGGAGGATTTAAAAAATAGATTTAATTAGTATGCATTTTGCTTAGTCAATTGGTAGAATAAGACCAAATTCATTACGATTGAGTCAATTGTTAGTATGTTTTTATGTGGTTGTTGTTGTTATTTGTGTGACAGATCTGCTTATAAACAGAAAGAAATCTTAGTGGTGTAGAAATATGAGTAGTGGATCTGCAATATGTGCTCACTTTAAAACGAGATATATAAAGTAATTAAAATGTAATGTTTTCTTACAGATTGAAGATATTTTACGCTAAAGCAAGGCATCACTCCTTTTGCACTAACAGAATATTAAATATAAAGTTCGATTGAACACTATAAATAAAGAAAAGATGTTTGCAATAATCAATCGCATCTTGGACTGGTTCAAAAGTCTCTTTTGGAAAGAAGAGATGGAATTGACTTTAGTTGGTCTGCAATATTCTGGAAAAACGACATTTGTTAACGTCATTGCAGTATGTTTTTCAAATGACTATGTATGTGGTGGTCCATAAATTATATAGTGAACATATTTTTATTTCAGTCAGGTCAATTTAGCGAGGATATGATTCCAACAGTTGGCTTCAATATGCGCAAAATAACCAAAGGAAATGTTACAATAAAAGGTTTGACAGCTAGATGATATTTAAATTCATAACTTGAATTAAGTTGATTTTTTCGCAGTATGGGATATAGGAGGTCAGCCGAGGTTCAGATCAATGTGGGAACGTTATTGTCGCGGTGTCAATGCAATAGTGTAAGTAATGCTCAACTACTAACGAGCCACTTATTGGTGTGCAATAGACACACAAACGGGCGTCTTGCAATAGGTTAAAAAACCCGAGCAACGAGAAATTATGGACATGAAAAGTTTTCACTGTAAAGTAGACCAAGTATGCTCCCCGATCAGATCCAATAATCCAATGCTCAGCTAAAATTGATTTATCATATGTATGGTAATACAAAGAAGATTGATTTTAGTGTAAATCATACCAATCGACCATCAAACTTACAACTTAGGTTTTGTAGTCCGAAATTCAAAGAATTCTTGTATGATTTTCGTTTTTTTTCTTTTAATTATTAGAAAGTGTACAATTTTCAAAAGCCAACCCTACTTTTGAAATTATTTTTTTTATTTTACAACTGAATGGGTTAGGATAAAAGTGAGCTCAAATTTTCATATAAAAAAATCTCAATCATGAAATCGATAAAAATAAATGGCCAACTAAACTGAGATGAAAATAAAAGAGCAACATGATTCATGTTGGTCTTTTATTTTCACTCTAAACATGTTGAACTTTTATTTTTACGCTGCGCTGCGCACGGTGGTGTTTTATTTTCAAAGCAAATAAGTTCCCGTTTTATTGGAAGTCCTATCAAGTTGGTATTTTATTTACATTTTTATCATGTAGAATTTTTTATTCATTTCAGCGGTCTTCCGTGTTTTTCATACAATCCGTGTTTTTCATACAATTTTTTTTGTTGCAAAACATACTTTCCTTTTAGTGAGACAGAATTGGCAAAACACATACATTCCTTTTCCAAAATTTAAAGCGAAAAAAAAACATACGTTCTTTTATATCTCACCCATAGATTTGGATGATAAGGAATGCGATTTTTTTCATTCTGATTTCACCAGGTGATACAGAAAATTGAGTAGTATTTGAGAATTGAGGAAAAAAATTTAATTATTTTTTTCATTTTTCGCGATTTTTTATACCATCTATATGGGAGGATTGTATGAAAAAGACGGAAGACCGCTGAAATGGCACTGCCGTAGGTCCGTATATATTTGGCATTTGCCATTTCAGCGGTCTTCCGTGTCTCTTTCATACAAGCCTCCCATATAAATGATAAAAAATCGTGAAAAATTAAAAAAATTATTAATTTTTTTTTCTTCAATTCTCAGATACTTCTCAACTTTCTGTATCACCTGGCGAAATCAGAATGAAAAAAATCGCGTTCCTTATCACCCAAATCACGATCTGGATTTTTTTAACTTTTTGAGTGCTCTATACCGAGTCTCCGAGAGTTTCATATAAACTTCCCATGTAACATCTATTGAATAGTGACCGAATGCCAATCACGATTTCAATGATAAGGAATTAGAGTTTTTTCATTCTGATTTCATCAGATGATACAGAAAATTGAATAGAATTTGTAAATCGAAGAAAAAAAAATTATTTTTTTTTTTTCATTTTTAGCGATTTTTTTAACGGGAGACCGCTGAAATAAATAAAAATTCAACATGATAAAAATGTAAATAAAATACCAACTTGATAGGACTTCCAATAAAACGGGAACTTATTTGCTTTGAAAATAAAACACCACCGTGCGCAGCGCAGCGTAAAATTAAAAGTTCAACATGTTTAGAGTGAAAATAAAAGACCAACATGTTTAGAGTGAAAATAAAAGACCAACATGAATCATGTTGGTCATTTATTTTTAACCATTTTATGATTGAGATTTTTTTATATGAAAATTTGAGCTCACTTTTATCCTAACCCAATCAACTATAATAATATTATATATTATAACTAAATATTGATGATTTATAAAAATTTATGAATATGTTGTTTACAGATATATGGTAGATGCTGCTGATTTAGACAAAATGGAAGCTTCCCGTAACGAACTGCACTCATTATTAGATAAGCCGCAACTGGCAGGCATTCCGGTTTTGGTCTTAGGAAATAAACGTGACTTACCAGGTGCATTGGATGAAACTGGTTTAATTGAGCGAATGTAAATATTAATCTGTGGGAAATCCAGTTAATGAATTTGAAACAATTTTGATATAAGAATTTTCAATTTCACAGGAACTTGTCCAGTGTTCAGGATAGAGAAATCTGTTGTTATAGTATCTCTTGTAAGGAGAAGGCAAATATTGACATTACTCTACAATGGTTAATTGCTCACTCCAAAAGTCAAGCGCGCTAAATTCATTATGTAAATGAATAGAATGCAGAAAATATCATATTTCTTCATTTCTTTGTTTTCTTAAAGCATACTATATGTTTATGTATGTATTCTTACATTAAATGGCTTAATATCGCGGGAAAAAATGAAATCAGAATATTTCAGCCAAATCAAGTTGCATTTTTAAGATTCTCAGAATGGGCTCGACTTTTTAAATGCTGTGTATTTCATCCCATATTTGAAGAATTGTTTTAAGTTAAATGAGAAAGATATTTTTAAAGTCGGCCAATATTAGGCTGATTTGAATTATAAAACATATAAAAAGTTAAGGTATTTAACTTTGTTCAAGACTTTTCTTTGTTCCAAATTTAATGAAACATCATATGCATTTCATAATAAACAATATCAAAAACATGAATTGATTTCTTTTCATTTGATAAATTCAAAACTGTAGTTCCAAGTTTTTGGCATTGGTTCAACTATGTGCGTTTAATTTTTTTTGGCTTGCTTCATGTTTGATGTTGTGTTAAGAAGAACTGATTGTTTATTTGAACCGGTGGGCGCTCGTATTCTTTAATGTTAATTCAACGTTGATGATTCCAAAAAACAATAGTCGATTTTTGTTACTAGTGAAGTTTTCACACAGCTCGAGTGAACTATGAGCTATAGGTGAATTGCAAACGTAAAGAAACAGACCAACTCCGATCCCGTGATTGCGATGATTAACAACTTAGTGAAGAATTTGCAATACGTACGGACACACAGAGTCGGAGAAAGTGTGCTCCTGTGTATTAGCCATATAGTTCGTCAGTTCACATATATATGTAAGTATGTATGATTTTAGAGAAAAAAGAAACTGTGACGCACTATTTCTATGGAAATTATGTCGGAACTATGTCGATTCGAATGATGTAGTCAGATTTTGAAATATCATTTTGGTGTCGGTTTGCTACCAAAAAATCATTTTTTCAAGAAAAAATCATTTTTTTTCTTTTTAGGTAGGTGTTATATTTATTTCGGAATTATGTCGGTTATGAATATTTAAGAAAAAAGCAAAAAAAAAACTGTCCGTCGAAAAATGGCAAAATTTGTTTTATTACAATAGTTGGAATGTAAAAAAAAACTCTTGAAAATATTTTTGCGTTTTTTATGTGTTATATAATAAGTTTAAATTTGTTTTTTGAAAAAACGACAAAACTTCTTTATCCGCAAAGTCCATCAAATATCAAAGATCACCGTTATTTAAATCAGTCGAACGTTTTTTTAAATAGCATTATAGTATTTGTTGTAATTTTGTCACATTTCTCATTCCACCTTACGACACTTTAATAAAAATGTTTTTGCTTAGTTTGAATGTACTCGCTGAGGATGACACATTGTCGAAATGCATCCGACCATTGTTTCAATTATTGTAATTTATTTGAATAGAATTCTTGAAATTAAATTGGCAAAGTCATAAAGGTGCAATATACTTAAAACAAATTGAATTTTATTTTAAAATCTTTGATATTTTATATAATAAGACCTAAGAAAAAAGCAAAAAAATGAAATGTGAATATGCTGTTATCAATAAACGATAACAAACATTTTAGCACTCACACATCCAATGCTTATATATATTTTATTCGGTGGCTCCCCCTATCCAGCCTGACAAATTATTTGCGAATGCGTTGAAACCGGCCTAGGGATATAGTGACTAATTTGTGACAATTTGTGACACCATTATTTCGGCCCATGGAATAGACCTTCTGCCAGTTTTGGCCATTTTTCTATTTAGGCCTATTGGCTAAAAAGTCTTTTAGCGAAAGAAGCCATAAGAAAACCATAGATTTATTGCCTAAAACGATAAAAAATAAAATTCACATATAGTTGGCGCTGCATTCTATGCAAACTTGTTTTCCGTTGCAACAGACTAAGTGGAAAGTATACGCTTATTAACTAGAATGTAGCGCCAACTATACGTGAATTTTATTTTTTTATCATTTTAGGCAGTAATCTTATCGCTTCTTTTGAATGAAAGCAAAAAATAAAAATCTAATGATGCAGAATTTTAGTGATTAATTTGTGACTCACAAATATGACTTTGGATTTTCCATACGACATCTGGTGGACATTTTATATACAAAAAAATTGAAAAATGCACAAAAATTATTTTAATCGAAAATTTGAAAAGGCTTTTCATAAGAATGGGCAAAATTATAAATATTCTTCAGCATAATTTTTGGTGACTAATTTGTGACTACCAAAAATGTTAACATTTGAATTTGTGACACAACGTGTGTGACAAAAATCTTAATTTTTCGATTTTCATACTAAAAGTCGAAAATCAATGAAATTTTGCAAATCGAATACGTTGATCCAAATAAATGATACCATCTTTTAGTGATCAATTTGTGACACAACGTATGTGACACAAATCTCAATTTTTCGATTTTCCCACTGAAAGTCGCAAACTTCAATGTTTTTTTTTCCTTCTAGGTTAGGATTTGAAAATTATTTGTACATTACGTCGACTTTTCAACACACCAATTTGGTTTCGTCACTCACGCGAACTGCCATCCGCTATGATTGAAAGGCTTAGTGGTGAGAGTAATAATAAAACATATCGCTTGTCTGTTTTGAAGTTATCCAAATTTGTATTATTTTTTTCATTCTGAGGACCATGTGTTCGATTTTGGTTTTAGGTCTCAGGCTCTCATATAAGTGTCCCACCAAAAATAAAACCGTTCGTACTATTTATAAAAGTATTTTTGAAAATTGAAGAAAAGTCACATATGCATAAATGCAGCAAACTCGATCTAACATTTAATGCGGAGGGAAGAAAATTAAGGGGAATTACGCAGATTTCTGGGTCGTTTTTTGAATATAACTATTGAATCTCTAGTTTTCTAATATATTGTTGGGAGATTTGGGTGACATTAATAAAAACTATTGCCATATCTTGAAGAACTCTAGGAAGAACTATGATGTTGCTTACAAGACATAATTACTTTATTTATTTTGAATTAGAGTATATTTAAACTGCACTTTAGATTTGAAATGAAACAATTTTTTTATATTTTATATAATAAAAGGCATTTTTTCAAAGAAGAGTATTTTCTGTATTTTTGTTGTGTTACATTAGTAAAAGTTTTATTTACTCACCATTAAAATTGAATTTCTTCTTTTATTAATAATAAACAAAATTATTCGGTACGTACTCGTAGTCAAACAAATATTTCCAAAGTTGTCAAAAATGCCAAGATCAAGAGATACATAATTTATAAACTTATTTGCTACCTCCAAAATGTGGTAAAATACTACTTTCCATCATAGGTTTTTTTGAAGTGGTTAATTGTTTAAGTAAACAGGGGCAGATGATAAAAATTATAACCGCGATAGCCAATAGCTGCCAGCCAAATATATACTACGTGGTAAGCACCGGGTATAAAACAAATCGATCCTGTTTATGTGATAACAAAAAAAAATGAAAGCATTAATATTTTTCTTTTTGTAAAAAAAATAACATTGAAATTACTAATTTGTATTGTTACTCAACGAACCACATTTGATTGGAATGCATTACCTGCCAAGAGAAAGACGAATCCTCGTGAGCCATTGGCTGGATTTGCAATTGAAACTATGCCCAAGCAAACTAGCACAACACCGATAATAAGTAAAGTTACTGTTTAAATTGAAATACTTAACATTAGAAGGATTAAAAAATATATATGGACATTTATTTGAAACAATAAAAGTCAATTTTACCAGCTGCTAAGACCGTTCGCCAATTTTCTCGAATTTTTGGATGATTCCAGCAATGCGTATAAAGGTCAGTTTGTGGAACATTGATATATTCTTGTATCAAAGAGTCTGAATCTCTAGAAGTAGTGTCTTCTGCAGCGAACTTATTATTTCTGAAAATAAAATTCAAAAATACAATTTTTGTTTATATACTAACCTAGACAATACATTTGAAAAGATATTTGCGTAATTTGGTTTAAAATTGTGTACACATGATGTTTAATTCAATTTTGGTAGATTTAATATAAAATCAACCAACAACGAATTAAATTTACCATATTTGACATTGCTGAGGCATATTTTTCAAGAGAGACTATTAGTTGAATGAGTCTTACCAATTACTTCAATACATTCACCAAATTCATGGGCTAACGTCATCTATGGTTTCGAAAAGTTGGTAAATGTAATGAAGCAATTGGTAAAACTTATTCAACAAATAGTCACTTTTGAAAAATATGCCTCAAAGATGTAAAAAATGGTAAATTCAATTTGTTATTGGTTGATTTTATATTAAATCTATCAAACTTGAATTAAAAATACCACATTTTTCTTTCTGTGTGTAAAAGAAAATTTTTATACGTAATTTATTGCATTCATTTTTCTTTGATTTTTTTGTGTAAAATGCATTCAAATATTACAGTTCAATATAACTGCTGTCGCTTTGAAAATTCCATCGCATCGATCGATTCTGTTTATGTTAAGAATGTGATTTGTTTGCAAAAATAAGAAGAATTATATATGAGTGTTTGGACAATCAATTTGTTTATTGTCATTTCAACAACGATTTTTTATGTTCGGAATACTGTTCGCTGTGGTTTCTTTGGTGCATCGGAGGTGCCAGCTAATCGGTAATTTGGAATAACAAGACAAAAAAGATGTCCAGGATCGCGAAAGTTTTTCGTCAATAAACTTGAACACTCAGTGGTGAAAATGGAATATAAATGGAAAACATCACAAACATGCGCGAATTGCCATGAAAAAAGGAACATAAGATCGATTTAAAGTGTGCTATGATGGTAAAGCGAAACCGATTGCGGGACTACCGTATTCAGTCGCTGGTCTAGCGGATATAATTATATTTATGGTTAGCAAACATGATTTACAAAGAGAACGGGGAATAATTAAACATCAAATTCTCAATGGCAATTATAAGAATACTTCGAAATGGGCGTTTAATGTTAAAGTTACCTACAAAAATTGACCATGTTTAAAAGCTCAGGATGATGATGATGCTTCATAGACAGTTGCTTGCCACCGCGATATTGTTGCTGCAAAATGTATTATGCTCAAAGGTATGAATTAATTGAAAATGGAGTTTATCCATCGTTCAATGTTTTTGTTCTGTTTTTGCTTCTAATTACATAAGACTTTGTCGGATGTGTGGAGTACCACTGCCTGATTCGTTGAGAAGACCTGAAGAGAATGCGGCGAATGTAAACAATGGCAACTAGCGAACAACAACATTGAATCCAAAAATTATTTAAAACAACTGACGGCCTTAGAAGAAAACAATAACATACAGAACATGTTGCAAATAATACTAATACAAATTTTATGAGAGCAAAAACCAAATGTGTTTCTCATGTAAGTAGGCTGGCTTTGCATTTGCCTTTTGCACTGTATCTTTATATATTTGGTTTTTGCTCTCATAAAATTTGAATTAGTATTATTTGCAACATGTTCTGTATGGTATTGTTTTCTTCTAAGGCCGTCAAATATTATAACGATTAGTTAGCGTAGCTGGGCTTGACTTTTGTGGCTTTGTTGAACGTTTTGTAACATTACAACGGTAGTACGGAGGAAAGAAGCCCGTAGGTGAGTACTGAGTATAGATAGAGTTTATTGAATACTGTATTGATGTTGATGCATGACTATGAACTGAACGTTCTAACTGAATATTCTACTCTCTCTTTTTCTTTCCTTGCAACGTTGAAAATTACTAAAATGACTCTCAAACACGGCACCGATTTTTACCGCGACAATTTGCCTGGTGACATTTGTTTGTTAATATTAAGAATATTTCATATTTATATTTACTCGTTTGATGTTGTATTATTGCTAGTATATCCTGTAGGACTATTTCCAGTTCCACTGCTTGACGGCTTCGGTACATTCGATATTGACTGTACAGTTGCTCCATACACACGGATAGCTTCATCATTTTCCTCTTCAAATGCATCATGAATTGAGAATCGTGGTTGTTTCATAATGTTCTATTTTGATTCTAATAAAAAAAATGATCTTTGCTATAACAGAGGTAATGAATTACACCATATCACAATCATCACTATTTGAAAATATTATACTTAAACTTAATTGATAGTTCATCGTAGTTTACTCATTGACAGGAACATGGTTAAATTTATATTAAGTTTTATTAGAATATCTGAATGCACTCACATGAAATACTACAACACAAACAAATGGAAACAATTAGATGGAAAAATTAGAAGGTATCATGTTTCATTTTGAAAATAAAAGTGCAGTTATGAAATGTTTAGTTTGTTTGATAAACTACAATATACGTGACTTAATCACATAAAAGGATTTATTATGATCATTTTTTGTTTTGTCGTTGTTTTTAGCTTTCGTTTTCTTTTCATGCTAATTCTAAGTGCATTGTAGTTTTTAAGTGACAGCTCGAACGCCATTATAGAAACATAACTACGAAATTTACTATGGCAACACATGGAATGCGTCAACTTTTAAATCCAAATATACGTTAACCCTCTAGTGCCTAGCTCTCCCTTTAGGCGGATTGTATGAATTATTGTCAAAAATATATTTTTTATTCTAAAGTTTTTCACACATGAACTAAAACACATCCAGAAAGGATCATCCTTTCATTTTATATCCATTTGACAATTGGTTTTTGGGTAGATATTTATCTGCAGGCTCGAAAGTGCGAAAAATTACATGTCGTGAAAAATTAAATTATTATACACTCTCACAGAATTTTTGAAATAATTTTAAACTAATTAATTCTCATTTGCTGGGCTCGGGAATTTTTATTCACATAATTAGAAGTATTTTCTTTCGATATTAACCCTCCTAGGTATAGTAACGGTCTATTAGACCGAAAACTTAGAAAAAATATCATAATATCGGAACGCGTCGACCGATTGCCATCAAATGTTTGCCTTTATGCGAGAATAATGAATAAATATTGAAAATAAAATTTAAAATCCTGCCACTGATCTGTAAAAAAAATATCCCAGAACGACGATAATCCTAACTTGATCGTATAGTTACGGTCTATTAGACCGTTCATACAAAATACAGGGAAAAACATACAAAAACAAAACAAAGTAACACTTTTTTTTAATTTTTGTATTTTTCTTTTTTGAAAACACTGAAAGAAGTTTGAATGTTAAAAATAGGAAGGATTTTAAGAAAATAATCAATTGGAATCATCAAAATAATTTTTATAGGAGCGTTTTTTTTCGTTGAAAAAAAAAAATACTTCGTTGAAAAAAATACTTTCTCATGTAAACAAGTATTGAAATACTGAATGGAAATTGGAAAAACTTCCGATCGATTTTTCTCACGTTTCCGATGGGATAATCAAAAAAAAAAAATGCCAGCCATGTTATCCCCGGTGTGCTCGACTTCTAGAACACTTTGGACCAGGTTTGGGTCCACCTTGTCCACAGGATTCGATTCTGGCAACAACATCTATTACTGTAGGAATCACCGATCGATTTTCCTTATTCTCTTCAAAATATCACTTAAAATTAAATGAAGAGGATGCAGGGATGAGAATTATCAACTTCCAAAACACATTGGACCAAGTCGGATCTACCTATTCCATAGGATACACTTCCAGATCAATTCATCTCACATGATATTATTGATTTTTTCAGCTCTCACTGCGACAATGAGATTTCTTAATCTGGAGGTGCATCCTGTGGAATAGTTAGATCCGACCTGGTCCAATGTGTTCGGGAAGTTCGAAATTCTCATCCCTACATCATCTCTTCTTCATTTCAAGTATCAGTAAATAGCTTTTATAAGCGAGAATAAGAAAAATCGATCGGTGATTTCTACAGTAATAGATGTTGTAGCTAGAAGGGAATCCTGTGGATTAGGTGGGCTCAAACCTGGTCCAAAGTGTTCTAAAGGTCGAGCACACCGGGGATAACATGGCTGGCAATTTTTTTTTTGATTTTCCCATCGGAAACGCGAGAAAAATCGATCGGAAGTTTTTCCAATTTCCATTCAGTATTTCAATACTTGTTTACATGAGAAAGTATTTTTTTTAACGAAATATTTTTTTTCAACGAAAAAAACGCTTTCATGCAAATGATTACGATGATTCAAATTGATAAATTTCTTAAAATCTTTCCTAATTTTAACTTTTAACCTTCTTTCAGTGTTTTCAAAAAAGAATAATACAAAAATTTGAAAAAAAGTGTGACTTTGTTTTGTTTTTTTTATGGTTTTCAAAACTCCCATCTGGAAAAAATAAATGCAGGGTTAAGAAAACTGAGACTCGCGCCAATTTTTATCACTTAATAATTGACAATTATCTATATTCAGTAAAACCTCCCAATAACGGAATTTTTTTCATTATTGACACTATTCCCAGCTTCCATTAATAACAGGTTTTCATGCCAATTCAGAAATGATTTTCCATTATCGGGGGAAAATTTGAAAAAAAGTAGAAATTCATATATTTTTATCATTATATAGCTAGCAAAATTTTCTAGGGGATGATTTTAGAAAAAATCCTAGAAATCAAAAGAAGTTTTCGCATGGGAAATCCTAGCAAAAAGGGTATTTCAATCGGAAAAAATTGACTTCCAAAAAAACAGCTCTAAAATCCCTAGCAAATCGAAAGAATTTCTCTCGCGTTCCAAAAACCCTAGCAAATCAATAGAATTTTCCCCAATTTTTTTCCACTATTGGGGGTGAGCGTTTGTTACAATTTTCCACTATTACCAGGTCATTTTGTATGGGAGTGCTCAACGGCGGAATTTTTTTTTGACTATTGACAAGAATTCCCCTATTCCCAGTTTCCATTATTGACAGGTTTTACTGTAACTGTTATATCGGACGTATTCAGGCATTATAAAGATGCATTTTTTGTAATGATTATAACGACACTAAAAAGGAGGACACTATCAAAAAATTCCCGTTATTAAGTTTTAGTCCCAATATTATTTTGTATTTTCGAAATGCAACTGACATCTTTCTGACATTTTTCGATTAACTTTGTTTTGTTTTCAAGAGGATTTCTTGAGAATTTTATGTGAGTCTTTGTAGCGTGGTTCGGGCGATCAATTTATTTTCTTGTCATTTCAATTTCAATGATTTTGTGTGTACGGAACGCTGTTCGCTGAGGAATTTCGCTGTTTGAGCGCAGTCTTCAAATGACGGAAGTTGTCTCATTGGCCTCACTTTTGATTTTATTCAAGGTGAATGAAGCATCATCTTGATAGTGAAGATCGTCAGTTCTTTTTGCGATGGGATCGTCGACAGTTCTTCTTCGATTGCTTCAATGCGGTATTGGCTGAAAATGTTTAGAATAATCATAGCCGAAATCTCATGCCGCCAGAGTTTCGGTTCATGGTCGAAAACTTCAGTGATGAACAGTTCGAAAAGTTGGAGAATGGTTCTCGTTATTTTGTCAAACCGCACATCGCAAATACGAAAACCAATCTCACCACTTGGTTTGAAGATCGACTTGAGTCATTCTTTCGAATGCGATGCTGGTATACAAAAGTTTAGATATCTCAACAAAAATTTATTTTTTATTAAAA